TCCCATGATAATGTAGGCCTAAAACTGTTAGTTTACCAAGCTCGGTCTGTTTTGGTATATCGTTGATATGAATTAAACATATCGCATGACTTCCTTGGCATTCATATAAACAAAATTGCTACAAAGAAGTAAAGAATCCAACTTTTAATGACATTTACGTTGACATTTTCGGCGCCGGAAATTGACAACGTTGGTCTATAAACTGACACAACATCGGTTGAGGTCGATTCCGGCAATTCTGCTTCAAACAATCTCTAGCAGTTAGAATTTATTGATGTCTTTAAATATATTTGTTATGTTTCAATAAATTTTAGTGGATAATTATTTTTGAGAGAAGACTAGCTATCGTGTACTTCAGAAACCAAGGTTTAGGGAGGACCACGACCCCTTAGTGGGAACATACAAAATAAAGATGACCGTTCTCCATTTGTACTCGATAGAAGTGCCTAATTTTTTCATAACATATACATTATGTACCAAAGATAATTAAATAAAAGTATAAAAGAAATCGAGACGGAGAATTTTTAGAAACAGCTAATAATTATAGCAGACCAATTGACGTAATAGAAAAAAAGACGAAAATGGCGCCTTCTTTAATTTCGAAAAAAATCTATTATTTTACAATTTATTGACACATATTGTTATTTTTAAAGGAGTTTAATATCTATTGATTCACTTTTCCATGAGAATTGAATGAATATTTTACTTTAAAAACAGAAACTCTTCCAATTTCTAAATCTACCGACCATGCAAGGAAAAACCTATAAAAAATTGCGACCCTTACATTAAAATGGGAACAAATTTTTGCCCTGGCTTGAACACTCATGTTCTTTACGAATTTCGATGCCAAAAACTAGCGAGAATATGATGTAGAAATTTTTAAAAATCGAAAAATAGGTATTTTTTTGTTCTCATTTTTAATATAGCCAATTTATCCTACAGTGCAGAAAATCAATATCCGAAATTCTATGTTCAGATATAAAAAAATGAGATTTCCTTGTATTTTAATGTTCGAAAATGAAAATAATATGTAAATTCATATATTTTTCTCATATAGATTTGCTTACAATCAACAGTATTTAAAGTCGGTACTTTGCCGCAAACGAACGAAAAAAAATTACAAAAGCGCGCCATTTTTCAGTTGACGTCGGCCGACGCAAAATAGTCCAATTTTCGGCGGAGGACTACTGAGCGCCGCCGAATCACATTTTGACAAAAAAGGCACATCCGGTTGTCCTACTGTTAGTAGCCGCGAGGTAAAGATTAATGAGTTGTAGAGTCAAGTTCGAAGTAGAGATTTGTTGGTTTAGGTTCGAATCCTGTTTTCTCTTTGTTGTCCCTTTTTTCTTTATTTTTGCCGTTTTCTTATTTTGTATATTATTGTGGATATTTTTCATGTAATAGCGGGTTCCCGTGTATTCTAAAATTATTATTGGCTTTTTCACGTATTTAAAAAAAAAATGATAACATTCAATTTGTTCATTTTTGTGTTATAGATATAAAATTGAGAATGGAAACGGGGAATGTGTCAAAGAGACAACAACCCGACCAAAGAGATGAAAACAGCCGAAGGTCACCAATGGGTCTTCAACGCAGCGAGTAAATCCCGCACCTGGAGGCGGGCTTCAGCTGGCCCCTTAAAAAAATGTATACTAGTTCATCGAAAATGGACGTCACACTTAACTCCGAAACATATATAAATAAACCAAAATAAAAAAATCCTACAAGACTAACAAATGCCAGAGGTCCCTGACTTGGGACAGGCGCAAAAATGCGGCGGGGTTAAACATGTTTTGTGAGATCTTAACCCTCCCCCTATACCTCTAGCCAATGTTGAATAAAAAAAAACACACAGCAATACGCACAGTAAAACTCAGTTTTAAAGAAGTCAGAGTCCGATGTTAGATAAGGTAACAGAAGAAACTAAGCAAAATGACAATAATGAACATAAATTAATAAATGACTACTAGCAGTTACTGACATGCCAGCTCCAGACTTCAATTAAACTGATTGTAAGATTATGTCTTCATCATATGAAAAATCAAGCACAATTCCTCCTGTAAGGGGTTTAGTATCATACCATCATAAAATATACGAGAGGAACATAACCCGTATCATGTCAATAACTGGTTTTTAGAATAAATGTGTTTCTGACGCAAAGACCCTATGAATGAATCAATACTAGTTCCAAAAAATGCCATCTTTAATGACTTGACAACAGTATCGTAACTATATCCCTTCTGAATAAGTCTGTTTAAATGTTTTGTTAGCTTTTGAGGTGAATGACGACATTTTTGTACTTTGAAGAGAATATAACCATAAAAGATTGGATGTGAAATACCTGAACGTATAAGATGCCTGCACGTTGATTTATATTTACGAATGATGTCCTTGTACCGATGATAAAATTTAGTAAAAGTTTGGAAAGTTTGTGATATCGTAAACCCTGGTGTAATAATTATTCAGTAATACAGAGATTTCTTTCGTTAAAACCATATACATTGTTACATACACGAGCAAATCGTACAAGTTTGGATATATAAACACCAGATGGTGCCAATGGAACCTCACCATCTAAATATGAATAATTAACAATAGGAAACTTAAAATCATCTCTTTTATCGTAAATGTTAGTATTAAGCTTCCCGTCAAAGATATAGATTTCAAGATCTAGGAAAAGACAGATTTCATTGTTAGTATTAGCTTTATCTAAAGTCAGTTCACCATTATACATCTCTTAAGTGTACATATTGAAGTCGTCATAATTGAGAGCAAATGTATCATCCAAATATCTAAAAGTGTTATTAAATTTTTGTATCAGATGTTGTATCGATGGGTCTTTGCTGATTTTAGTCATACATTGTAACTCGTAACAATACAGAAATAGGTCCGCAATAAGTGGTGCACAGTAAGTCCCAATTGGAATTCGGATAACTTGACGATATACGAAATCTCCATAGCGAACAAAAATGTTATCTAGTAAAAATTCAAGTGCAGTTATCGTATCAGAGCAAGCCCAATTGACATAATTCTTTTGTTTGTTGTTTCTAAACAATGACCCAAAAGAGTTAGAACATACATATCCGCACTCCGACTTTTTAAATGCCCATCATGTTTAATTAGGTATGTGATTTTTTTCTTTATGCGATTAGTATGATTTCATCTGTTTTACTACATATCTTTACAAATGTGTATTTGCAAATCCCTATGCGCTTAAATCATGATTTGCCTAGAAAAAGGTTTCTTGCTAGAAATGTGGGTAACATAAATGTTATATATACTTAGAAAATAAGTTCTTATTTTGTAAATTACAGATGTTATTCAGATGCATAATAATTTAATTTGAAAACAGACGTGTTTTGTTATATTTGTATTTCTCTAACCGATTAATTGCGAGCTTTGATTAATTAATGCACAGTTGAACATGATAACATGGTTATTTTAACTCACTCACAATACCTTCTAAGCTTAAAGCCTCCGAGCTCATGGTTTCTTTTTCAAGAACAGACGCTTATCCATTGTATCTATAATATTTATTTCATGATGTTAGAAAAAAAAAATGAATACATAAACTGGTCCGGATTCGTGATACAGTAGAGTGTCAAACATGCGTGACTGTAGAAAGTAAACTCTCTGTTTGTTGTACATAATTATTAGATATGTGTACATAGTTTCACATTTGGAAGTGGTTCGGCCATGCATTGTTGTTCCTTCATTAACGTGTATCATTTGTCTTTTCAGAATTTAAATCAGTATTGGTGTTATTTTTGAAAGCATATCAACCATCTTCATTTATCAATATCAAAACGTTCGGATAATCTCGTAACGGTAAAAATAGTGAAAATTTAACAAATGACGAAACGTCATTTTCCTTATTTGGTTTACAAATAATTAAACTAACCATAGTCGTTTCATTCCGAAATGGTTAATGGGTTTTAGTTAAAGTGATATACTGTATTTAAGCCTTTCTGCATATCTAAATATAATACCGATGTCTTAGCATAATTGCTATATTTCATGGTGTTTATAAAATCATCTGTCCAACAGAAACATAAAGTTCCAATTTGAAGATTTGAGATATTGCGGATCGTTGGCTTATTCGCTAACTGTTTATCTAGACGACAGATGACTTTGACATGATTAAGATACTATTCTAGAATGTAGGATTCACTTCAATATGACTTAACATCGAAGGTTAAGTGAAAACATAGTTATCTTGTGCTTGAAAATAGACATTTTATTTAGGTTTATATAACAAAAAAAGTAATGCATATACATATGAAGCCATTTAATGTTTTACATGTAAATTACAAATAGAGATTATATTTTAAAAATGTCCATTTAAATGTAATTTGCTGGTTTTCAAGGCTGATTGTAGTGAAAATGATTTACGTCGGAGAAAGATACACTATACCGGGACCTCTCTCCCTTAAAAAAAAAATCAACGTAAAGACATTTTACACAACAAACGCAACACATTTAATTGTATAGACTGTGAATCAAGTTCCTCACGAAATATTGAGAGTGATTTCTAGTGCTGTGATAGGGTAAACAGAACCTGCACTAATAGTAGCAACCGAATTGATGCTCACCACAGGTAAATTTTGAAGTAAAGTCAGGACAGGATTTTGGCTCTAAAACTTGATAGGAGCATCCATGGTCACCTGTTACACAAATATTCAATAACGATAAAACAAAACAGGATGGCTTCCATAAAACTTTGTTAAGATCCGACTTAACCATAATACGAAGAACAGTCGGAATTGTATCCAAACTGATTCCATATCTTGAAGATTTCATTCTATATTTGCTGTCAGAGAAGCTGCAAGTAATCACTGTTGTGTTGTCTAGTATTTTGGAGATTCCTGTGATCATTTTTATATATTATTTTATGTGAAAACTGGATACACATAATTGTCTGTGATATTTATCAAACCAAATGTTATTAAGTTTCAGCTGCAACCCAATAAATGTTATTCAATTATGGTTATTTTTTTCAGAACTGGTAAGATTTTGACTTGGCTAAGTAGAATATAATACAGGCTTTCTGACAACATGGTGGTCTAGGAACAGCAACCATGACTATTTCTAAGTTAATTAATGCAAAATATAGTGTGACACAACCTAAATGAACATCACATTTTTAAACCAAATTTGATGAATTGTTGCATTTTACAGCTATGTATTTTATCTCCCATAGTTATTTAGGAAGATCTTATTCCTTTTTATAATGGTATTGCATATAATTAAACAATCTATGTACCGAATGATAAGTTGAACGTTTTAAGAAAGTGGTAACGAAACATATCAAAGATACCAGGCTTATATTTTGGTAAGCACGACATGCGTTCGTCTACATGGGAGTCATCAGTGGTGCTCGAATAAAAACAGTGAGACAGCCATGCAAATACGAAGTGGAAGAGCTTTAAAAATTGTTAAGTTAGTTGATTAAAAAAAAACGATTAAAGTCACAATTTACGAAAAATATTTGATTGTTTTGGCATTCATCGTATATGAGAATACTTACACATAGTTATATTGATGGTTTTTTTTTGTTCGGATGAATTTTAAAATATGACTTTAAAAACTCTGCTTATTCAAAAAACGTTACAATGTGAAAACTTACATTTACATATGGATTGTTATTTCTTATGTCGGAAAAATACTTTTCCATGATACTTTAGTACAAAAATACATTAAATCGGACAGCAGCACATCGCATGTATGTTTTGTTCAGTTTTAAAAACCAAGTATATCTGCAGGGTGTTAAAAAGATTTAAACCGGTTACATACTTCAAAGTTCTGTAAATTTACTGTTCATCATTTCTTTCAATATAGATTTTCCACTTTCAACATGGTCCATTTAGCGTCACTGTTATAATGTTACATTGTTTATGATCTTCTGCAACTTGTATATTCTAACCATCAACTATGATTCATTCTGAGGTTTTGATATTGAAATAAAAACATAATTTCCGTTCTTCGTCATTAAAGGAAATCAAATATTTCTTGGACCAATCGATTAGCTCACTGAGGTCGTTGCCTATAGCTGATGTTATCTATGACGTGTCATGATCAAAATGACTGGTAGATGCGACATCTGAAAATAATCTACATATCGAGGGAAGATTTCTGCAATATCAATAATAAAGACTTGCAAAAAGAAATCTTAATATAGAACCATGTGGCTCTCCAGCTAAAACACACCAATGGCAAAAAAGGATTAATGTCTTTTGTTCGAGTAATTTTTAAAAAAAATTACAAACTCGTCGTCGAAACTACAAGACTTCATTTAATGTAATAAACATTGATGTCTAATTTATCGAAAGATTTAGAAAAGTCACAGAAAAAAATACAACTATTACTTTATCTGAAGTGAATTTAAAATACAGTTGATTTTTTTAAATGGCTGATGAACTTTTGAACAATTTCGAAGATAAGCACAATTATATTCAGATAATAATTTATTTCGTTGCAAGTAATTGGAAACGTGTTTACAAACAACTCGCTCCAACATCCATCACAACTTTTAATTAGAATTTGTCTATAACTATACGTTTATGACCTATCACTTTTAAAAAAATGCAATTAATTTACAATTTTCCTGTCGTGTAGGAAATTTGCTTTGCTGAAATTTAAAAAAAAATATTATTCTTAAAAGGAATAGCCACTTATTGTTTTAAATCTATATTGTTTGTTAAAAGTTGATGCGCTGATAATATACTGAGAAACCCTACCATAACGACTCCATCTAAGAACCCATAAACATTTAATGCTAGCCAAACCTGCGCAAGTTTTAACAATGACGCTAGGTGTGTCAAGATTTCCAAGGGCTTCATTCATATTTCTGAGCATCTATTTGCATAGCAACTAAAAAAAGGCATCTAGTGTATATTGAGAAAGTTTGTGCCACAAGTGGTTCGAATGAGATATGGATTCGTAAAAAAATCAAAAGTTTCTTAAATTATTTTAATCTAATTTCATTGTTATCAGCAGTTTTCTAGATGTGAATGGAAAAATAATAGACGTTTGTAACTTCATTTATTGTTAGTTTCTATACATAGATGTACATTATAAATAATGATCAATTCAGATTACGCTATATTTTATTTTTTGCAATTACCTATAATATTAGGACATTTCAGAATCATAATCATGTTTAAGCTAGATTTATACCTATCGTTAGGTTAGGATACAGTTGGTATATCCAACGTGATGATTTTTTACGTTATTTTTGTTCACCTTTATGAAGTGCATATTTCCGAATTGGTTTGTTTGGAAAGAGATATAGTCTACACGGCATAATCACCGTAACATGAGCATCAGTTTCAATATGATAAAACTGCTCATCTATTTTTTAAACGTTCCTTAAATGGTCACGAATATAAGATTTCTTATTATTAAATATCAAACCATAGCTTGCAGTTTTCTTGAACAAACGTTGTTTTAATACAATGTTTTTTTCCAAATTATTTTCGATATAGATATTTTTGAATACCTCATCAACAACACCAAGATTTACCCAAATTTAATTTCATTTTATATCGTCTAACATCAAATTAAACTTGATGATGTCAGCCACGGGCTGTTTTTCGGATGTATCCTAAGACATCTTAAGCAATTTGGACACACTTTCTTGGATTGGTGTCTTTAAAACTTTACACTATTGTTGGAATGCATAAAAGGAAGCTCCCTTTCGATTGAAACAAATCTGGTTTAAAAAAAAATCGGTTTGTATTTCCATAGTTATGGGATATTTAACAGTCATATTTGACACTTCATATTTCTACAGTGCTCTTTTGTTACACATAAATATTCCATTTATTTCTCGCAACAATTTCAATGTGTAGACGCTTGACGCAGAAACTTATTGTTTCAGTTGTGGCACATCAGAATAGCAGCAATTTTGGCTGAAAGATAGGTGCAACAATGTGCTTAAGTTAGTATTTACCTTTGTTGGTTCATGAATCACATTTCAATGTTCATATTTGCCGTTTATTGTATTGTTATTTGTACAAAAGAGGTTTAAACAAGTATTCTGAGAGTATTGCATGGCAATACATAGTCCTCTACCTCTAAAAATTCATCGTACCGGAACAAAATGCTAAAGTGTTCTCTAAATTGTCATGGTGTAAACTATATAAGAAATATCATGTCATTATCTTCAAGTATGACGAAAAAAGTGTGGAAAACTGATTATTTGCGTGAATTTTCTAAGTCTAAAGACCGTAACTCTGCAAAATAATCATCCGAATGGAACAAACTTCGAACTTGAGCTGTAACTTGTCATGGTCAAAATATATACCAAATATCAAATCAATATCTCCAAGCATGACGAAAAAAAAAGTGTGGAAAACTGATTACTTGCGTGAATTTTCGAAGACCAAGCACATAAATTCTCTGCACAAAATCTTCAGACCGAAACAAAATTGTGTGGAAAACTTATTTGGCGGTCTGATGGATGGAAAGACAGACAGACGGACGAAATGCAAGCCTATAGTCCCTTTCGATTTCGTCGGTAGGGGACTAACAAAGGTCGCCTATAATTATGTTATCATTCAAATCAAGGGTAAACTTATTGAGAACATATGACTCGATGTGTCTTAAACTAGTGGACTTAGACTTGGTTCAATATCACTACTGTAATATTTAATACGAATTTGGAGTCTTAGAAAAGACACAATTTTAAAATTGTGATTCATGCGTTTGAGAATCAGTAGGACCTTGTGCACGATGGAGATGGTTTGGTGAGATCAGCAATAGTGCGTACACAATTTGGACTTACCAATAGACCGATCGTCAAACTGTACCCAACAGAGATTAATTCTAATGACAATGATGAATCTCAAATTCTTAGAAGGAGTGTTTGTTTACAAAACCGTAACCAAAGACTGTAATTATAACAGAACTATTTTAAACGCACCTTGATTTAAGAATTGAATGCTTTTTTTTGTAAATTTATTGGGGTGTAAAAGCGTCGACCGAAGTACATTTTGTATGAAGCGCTGAAGCGCTTCATTCTCAAAATGTGCGCACGGTCAACGCTTTTACAACTCTATAAAATTACTAAAAGAAGCATTCGATACTTATAATGTGAACATGAAAACATACGGAAGCGTATTAGCGCCACGACATTTTTTTTTATTTTTTCCTTCCTATCTTTGCGTTATAACGCAAACCTTTGCAATATAACGCAAACCTTTGCGAAATAATGCAAACTTTTGCGTTATAACGCAAACATTTGCGATATAACGTAAACCTTTGCGTTATAACGCAAACATTTGCGAAATAACGCAAACCTTTGCGTTAAAACGCAAACCTTAGCGTTAAAACTCAAACCTTTGCGTTATAACGCAAACCTTTGCGATATAACGCAAATATTGGCGTTATAATGCAAACATTTGCGAAATAACGCAAACATTTGCGAAATAACGCAAACATTTGCGTTATAACGCAAAAATTTTGATTGCAATTATTCATTAAGTTTTGTATTATGTCCTTCTGTCATTAAATTCCGGTTGTGATTTAATTAATAGAAGAACCATAAATACAAGGCCAAATCATTACTTATAAATATGCATAGGAATAAGGGAATACTTAATGTGCAAAAAATTGAAAACAACACGTTTAACAATTTCATGCGTCCGAAGCGCTTTTCTGGATTTACCTTCATCAGGAACGCTCAAAGCTAAACATTTGAAATCCGAGGAATGTATAAGTACCGAAACAGTTGAAGAGATATATGACAAAAATACCTAAAACGAATAGCCAAATTCATCTGAGGTCAACTTTGCCTGAGGGAGTTAAAACCTTAGTTTCTTTATAATTTCAAAATTTATAAACAGACAATGAAACCTTTTGCGTTATAACGCAAACATTTGCGATATAACGCAAACATTTGCGAAATAACGCAAACCTTTGCGAAATAACGCAAACATTTGTTTTATCTTATTTCTTATTTAAGGTTCAAAGGAAGCAGCTGTTATTAATGGATAAGGCTGCATATATTAGAATGAATCACCCTTTGTACTCATTGCAAAGTAAAATGCTTGAATATTTAGAACATATCATTGATTAATAAAGAGCAGGATAATACATGTATATATATCACAAAGAAAATTGAGTAATTTGAAGTTATCACGATAAAATAAAAATCTACCCTGCTAATATAGCTATGAATATACCTCCAAAGTAAGCTCTCGTTTGAGATTTTTTCTGAATAATTCATTTTAAAGCAGAAAGATCAATTTGTCTATTTGAATTGATAGTTTCACAATTGTATGACATTATTTAGCCCTGATCTACTTAATTAAAATTTTCAAATTTTGTTCTTTCAATTAAAATATGCCTATTTTCTTGTTAAATTATATAATTTTCTGATACAAAAACCATTCTTAATTAGTGTATAATGGTACTGCCATGATTTATAACAAACCTTTCTAAAATTGTCTGTTTATAAATTTTGAAATTATAAAGAAACTAAGGTTTCAACTCCCTCAGGCAAATTTGAACTTAGATGAATTTGGCTATTCGTTTTAGGTATTTTTGTCTTATAGCTCTTCAACTGTTTCGGTACTTATACATCCCTCTGATTTCAAATGTTTGGCTTTGAGCGTTCCTGATGAAGGTAAATCCAGAAAAGCGCTTCGGACGCATGAAATTATTAAACGTGTTGTTTTCAATTTTTTACATCACTGGGTCGATACCTCTGCTGGTGGACTATCAGTCCCCGAGGGTATTATCAGCTCAGTAGTCAGTACTTCGGTACTGACATGATTTATAACAAACCTTTCTAAAATTGTCTGTTTATAAATTTTGAAATTATAAAGAAACTAAGGTTTCAACTCCCTCAGGCAAAGTTGACCTTAGATTAATTTGGCTATTCGTTTTAGGTATTTTTGTCATATAGCTCTTCAACTGTTTCGGTACTTATACATCCCTTGGATTTCAAATGTTTGGCTTTGAGCGTTCCTGATGAAGGTAAATCCAAAAAAGCGCTTCGGACGCATGAAACTATTAAACGTGTTGTTTTCAATTTTTACATCACTGGGTCGATACCTCTGCTGGTGGACTATCAGTCCCCGAGGGAATCATCAGCTCAGTAGTCAGTACTTCGGTACTGACATGATTTATAACAAACCTTTCTAAAATTGTCTGTTTATAAATTTTGAAATTATAAAGAAACTAAGGTTTTAACTCCCTCAGGCAAAGTTGACCTTAGATGAATTTGGCTATTCGTTTTAGGTATTTTTGTCATATAGCTCTTCAACTGTTTCGGTACTTATACATTCCTCGGATTTCAAATGTTAAGCTTTGAGCGTTCCTGATGAAGGTAAATCCAGAAAAGCGCTTCGGACGCATGAAATTATTAAACGTGTTGTTTTCAATTTTTTGCACATTAAGTATTCCCTTATTCCTATGCATATTTATAAGTAATGATTTGGCCTTGTATTTATGGTTCTTCTATTAACTAAATCACAACCGGAATTTAATGACAGAAGGACATAATACAAAACTTAATGAAAAATTGCAATCAAAATTTTTGCGTTATAACGCAAATGTTTGCGTTATTTTGCAAATGTTTGCGTTATTTCGTAAATGTTTGCATTATAAAGCCAATGTTTGCGTTATATTGCAAAGGTTTGCGTTATAACGCAAAGGTTTTGCGTTATAACACAAAGGTTTGCGTTATTTCGCAAATGTTTGCGTTATAACGCAAAGGTTTGCGTTATTTCGCAAAGGTTTGCGTTATAACGCAAATGTTTGCGTTATATCGCAAATGTTTGCGTTATAACGCAAAAGTTTGCATTATTTCGCAAAGGTTTGCGTTATATTGCAAAGGTTTGCGTTATAACGCAAAGATAGGAAGAAAAAATTAAAAAATAATGTCGTGGCGCTAATACGCTTCCGTATGTTTTCATGTTCACATTATAAGTATCGAATGCTTCTTTTAGTAATTTTATAGGGTTGTAAAAGCGTTGACCGTGCGTACATTCTGAGAATGAAGCGCTTCAGCGCTTCATACAAAATGTACTTCGGTCGACGCTTTTACACCCCAATAAATTTACAAAAAAAAACATTCAATTCTTAAATCAAGGTGCGTTTAAAATAGTTCTGTTATAATTACAGTCTCTGATTACGGTTTTGTAAACAAACACTCCTTCTAAGAATTTGAGATTCATCATTGTCATTAGAATTAATCTCTGTTGGGTACAGTTTGACGATCGGTCTATTGGTAATTCCAAATTTTGTACGCACTATTGCTGATCTCACCAAAACCATCTCCATCGTGCACAAGGTCCTACTGATTCTCAAACGCATGAATCACAATTTTAAAATTGTGTCTTTTCTAAGACTCCAAATTCGTATTAAATATTACAGTAGTGATATTGAACCAAGTCTAAGTCCACTAGTTTAAGACACATCGAGTCATATGTTCTCAATAAGTTTACCCTTGATTTGAATGATAACATAATTATAGGCGACCTTTGTTAGTCCCCTACCGACGAAATCGAAAGGGACTATAGGCTTGCATTTCGTCCGTCTGTCTGTCTTTCCATCCATCAGACCGCCAAATAAGTTTTCCACACAATTTTGTTTCGGTCTGAAGATTTTGTGCAGAGAATTTATGTGCTTGGTCTTCGAAAATTCACGCAAGTAATCAGTTTTCCACACTTTTTTTTTCGTCATGCTTGGAGATATTGATTTGATATTTGGTATATAGTTTGACCATGACAAGTTACAGCTCAAGTTCGAAGTTTGTTCCATTCGGATGATTATTTTGCAGAGTTACGGTCTTTAGACTTAGAAAATTCACGCAAATAATCAGTTTTCCACACTTTTTTCGTCATACTTGAAGATAATGACATGATATTTCTTATATAGTTTACACCATGACAATTTAGAGAACACTTTAGCATTTTGTTCCGGTACGATGAATTTTTAGAGGTAGAGGACTATGTATTGCCATGCAATACTCTCAGAATACTTGTTTAAACCTCTTTTGTACAAATAACAATACAATAAACGGCAAATATGAACATTGAAATGTGATTCATGAACCAACAAAGGTAAATACTAACTTTAGCACATTGTTGCACCTATCTTTCAGCCAAATTTGCTGCTATTCTGATGTGCCACAACTGAAACAATAAGTTACTGCGTCAAGCGTCTACACATTGAAATTGTTGCGAGAAATAAATGGAATATTTATGTGTAACAAAAGAGCACTGTAGAAATATGAAGTGTCAAATATGACTGTTAAATATCCCATAACTATGGAAATACAAACCGAATTTTTTTTAAACCAGATTTGTTTCAATCGAAAGGGAGCTTCCTTTTATGCATTCCAACAATAGTGTAAAGTTTTAAAGACACCAATCCAAGAAAGTGTGTCCAAATTGCTTAAGATGTCTTAGGATACATCCGAAAAACAGCCCGTGGCTGACATCATCAAGTTTAATTTGATGTTAGACGATATAAAATGAAATTAAATTTGGGTAAATCTTGGTATTGTTGATGAGGTATTCAAAAATATCTATATCGAAAATAATTTGGAAAAAAACATTGTATTAAAACAACGTTTGTTCAAGAAAACTGCAAGCTATGGTTTGATATTTAATAATAAGAAATCTTATATTCGTGACCATTTAAGGAACGTTTAAAAAATAGATGAGCAGTTTTATCATATTGAAACTGATGCTCATGTTACGGTGATTATGCCGTGTAGACTATATCTCTTTCCAAACAAACCAATTCGGAAATATGCACTTCATAAAGGTGAACAAAAATAACGTAAAAAATCACCACGTTGGATATACCAACTGTATCCTAACCTAACGATAGGTATAAATCTAGCTTAAACATGATTATGATTCTGAAATGTCCTAATATTATAGGTAATTGCAATAAATAAAATATAGCGTAATCTGAATTGATCATTATTTATAATGTACATCTATGTATAGAAACTAACAATAAACGAAGTTACAAACGTCTATTATTTTTCCATTCACATCTAGAAAACTGCTGATAACAATGAAATTAGATTAAAATAATTTAAGAAACTTTTGATTTTTTTACGAATCCATATCTCATTCGAACCACTTGTGGCACAAACTTTCTCATTATACACTAGATGCCTTTTTTTAGTTGCTATGCAAATAGATGCTCAGAAATATGAATGAAGCCCTTGGAAATCTTGACACACCTAGCGTCATGTTGTTAAAACTTGCGCAGGTTTGGCATGCATTAAATGTTTATGGGTTCTTAGATGGAGTCGTTATGGTAGGGTTTCTCAGTATATTATCAGCGCATCAACTTTTAACAAGCAATATAGATTTAAAACAATAAGTGGCTATTCCTTTTAAGAATAATATTTTTTTTTAAATTTCAGCAAAGCAAATTTCCTACACGACAGGAAAATTGTAAATTAATTGCATTTTTTTAAAAGTGATAGGTCATAAACGTATAGTTATAGACAAATTCTAATTAAAAGTTGTGATGGATGTTGGAGCGAGTTGTTTGTAAACACGTTTCCAATTACTTGCAACGAAATAAATTATTATCTGAATATAATTGTGCTTATCTTCGAAATTGTTCAAATGTTCATCAGCCATTTAAAAAAATCAACTGTATTTTAAATTCACTTCAGATAAAGTAATAGTTGTATTTTTTTTCTGTGACTTTTCTAAATCTTTCGATAAATTAGACAGCAATGTTTATTACATTATATGAAGTCTTGTAGTTTCGACGACGAGTTTGTAATTTTTTTTAATAATTACTCGAACAAAAGACATTAATCCTTTTTTGCCATTGGTGTGTTTTAGCTGGAGAGCCACATGGTTCTATATTAAGATTTCTTTTTGCAAGTCTTTATTATTGATATTGCAGAAATCTTCCCTCGATATGTAGATTATTTTCAGATGTCGCATCTACCAGTCATTTTGATCATGACACGTCATAGCTAACATCAGCTATAGGCAACGACCTCAGTGAGCTATTCGATTGGTCCAAGAAATAGTTCATTTCCTTTAATGACGAAGAACGGAAATTATGTTTTTATTTCAATATCAAAACCTCAGAATGAATCATAGTTGATGGTTAGAATATACAAGTTGCAGAAGATCATAAACAATGTAACATTATAACAGTGACGCTAAATGGACCATGTTGAAAGTGGAAAATCTATATTGAAAGAAATGATGAACAGTAAATTTACAGAACTTTAAAGTATGTAACCGGTTTAAATCTTTTTAACACCCTGCAGATATACTTGGTTTTTAAAACTGAACAAACATACATGCGATGTGCTGCTGTCCGATTTAATGTATTTTTGTACAAAAGTATCATGGAAAAGTATTTTTCCGACATAAGAAATAACAATCCATATGTAAATGTAAGTTTTCACATTGTAACGTTTTTTGAATAAGCAGAGTTTTTAAAGTCATATTTTAAAATTCATCCGAACAAAAAAAAACATCAATATAACTATGTGTAAGTATTCTCATATACGATGAATGCCAAAACAATCAAATATTTTTCGTAAATTGTGACTTTAATCGTTTTTTTATTAATCAACTAACTTAACAATTTTTAAAGCTCTTCCACTTCGTATTTGCATGGCTGTCTCACTGTTTTTATTCGAGCACCACTGATGATTCCCATGTAGACGAACGCATGTCGTGCTTACCAAAATATAAGCCTGGTATCTTTGATATGTTTCGTTACCACTTTCTTAAAACGTTCAACTTATCATTCGGTACATAGATTGTTTAAGTATATGCAATACCATTATAAAAAGGAATAAGATCTTCCTAAATAACTATGGGAGATAAAATACATAGCTGTAAAATGCAACAATTCATCAAATTTGGTTTAAAAATGTGATGTTCATTTAGGTTGTGTCACACTATATTTTGCATTAATTAACTTAGAAATAGTCATGGTTGCTGTTCCTAGACCACCATGTTGTCAGAAAGCCTGTATTATATTCTACTTAGCCAAGTCAAAATCTTACCAGTTCTGAAAAAAATAACAATAATTGAATAACATTTATTGGGTTGCAGCTGAAACTTAATAACATTTGGTTTGATAAATATCACAGACAATTATGTGTATCCAGTTTTCACATAAAATAATATATAAAAAATGATCACAGGAATCTCCAAAATACTAGACAACACAACAGTGATTACTTGCAGCTTCTCTGACAGCAAATATAGAATGAAATCTTCAAGATATGGAATCTGTTTGGATCCAATTCCGACTGTTCTTCGTATTATGGTTAAGTCGGATCTTAACAAAGTTTTATGGAAGCCATCCTGTTTTGTTTTATCGTTATTGAATATTTGTGTAACAGGTGACCATGGATGCTCCTATCAAGTTTTAGAGCCAAAATCCTGTCCTGACTTTACTTCAAAATTTACCTGTGGTGAGCATCAATTCGGTTGCTACTATTAGTGCAGGTTCTGTTTACCCTATCACAGCACTAGAAATCACTCTCAATATTTCGTGAGGAACTTGATTCACAGTCTATACAATTAAATGTGTTGCGTTTGTTGTGTAAAATGTCTTTACGTTGATTTTTTTTTTTTGAAGGGAGAGAGGTCCCGGTATAGTGTATCTTTCTCCGACGTAAATCATTTTCACTACAATCAGCCTTGAAAACCAGCAAATTACATTTAAATGGACATTTTTAAAATATAATCTCTATTTGTAATTTACCTGTAAAACATTAAATGGCTTCATATGTATATGCATTACTTTTTTTGTTATATAAACCTAAATAAAATGTCTATTTTCAAGCACAAGATAACTATGTTTTCACTTAACCTTCGATGTTAAGTCATATTGAAGTGAATCCTACATTCTAGAATAGTATCTTAATCATGTCAAAGTCATCTGTCGTCTAGATAAACAGTTAACGAATAAGCCAACGATCCGCAATATCTCAAATCTTCAAATTGGAACTTTATGTTTCTGTTGGACAGATGATTTTATAAACACCATGAAATATAGCAATTATGCTAAGACATCGGTATTATATTTAGATATGCAGAAAGGCTTAAATACAGTATATCACTTTAACTAAAACCCATTAACCATTTCGAAATGAAACGACTATGGTTAGTTAAATTATTTGTAAACCAAAAAAGGAAAATGACGTTTCGTCATTTGTTAAATTTTCACTATTTTTACCGTTATGAGATTATCCGAACTTTTTGATATTGATAAATGAAGATGGTTGATATACTTTCAAAAATAACACCAATACTGATTTAAATTCTGAAAAGACAAATGATACACGCTAATGAAGGAACAACAATGCATGGCAGAACCACTTCCAAATGTGAAACTATGTACACATATCTAATAATTATGTACAACAAACAGAGAGTTTACTTTCTACAATCACGCATGTTTGACACTCTAATGTATCACGAATCCGGACCAGTTTATGTATTCATTTTTTTTTCAAACATCATGAAATAAATATTATAGATACAATGGATAAGCGTCTGTTCTTGAAAAAGAAACCATGAGCTCGGAGGCTTAAAGCTTAGAAGGTATTGTGAGTGAGTTAAAATAACCATGTTATCATGTTCAACTGTGCATTAATTAATCAAAGTTCGCAATTAATCGGTTAGAGAAATACAAATATAACAAAACACGTCTGTTTTCAAATTAAATTATTATGCATCTGAATAACATCCGTAATTTACAAAATTAGAACTTATTTTCTAAGTATATATAACATTTATGTTACCCACATTTCTAGCAAGAAACCTTTTTCTAGGCAAATCATGATTTAAGCGCATAGGGATTTGCAAATACACATTTGTAAAGATATGTAGTAAAACAGATGAAATCATACTAATCGCATAAAGAAAAAAATCACATACCTAATTAAACATGATGGGCATTTAAAAAGTCGGAGTGCGGATATGTATGTTCTAACTCTTTTTGGGTCATTGTTTAGAAACAACAAACAAAAGAATTATGTCAATTGGACTTGCTTTGATACGATAACTGCACTTGAATTTTTACTAGATAACATTTTTGTTCGCTATGGAGGTTTCGTATATCGTCAAGTTATCGGAATTCCAATTGGGACTTACTGTGCACCGCTTATTGCGGACCTATTTCTGTATTGTTACGAGTTACAATGTATGACTAAAATCAGCAAAGACCCATCGATACAACATCTGATACAAAAATTTAATAACACTTTTAGATATTTGGATGATATATTTGCTCTCAATTATGACGACTTCAATATGTACACTTAAGAGATGTTTAATGGTGAACTGACTTTAGATAAAGCTAATACTAACAATGAAATCTGTCTTTTCCTAGATCTTGAAATCTATATCTTTAACGGGAAGCTTAATACTAACATTTACGATAAAAGAGATGATTTTAAGTTTCCTATTGTTAATTATTCATATTTAGATGGTGAGGTTCCATTGGCACCATCTGGTGTTTATATATCCAAACTTGTACGATTTGCTCGTGTATGTAACAATGTATATGGTTTTAACGAAAGAAATCTCTGTATTACTGAATAATTATTACACCAGGGTTTACGATATCACAAACTTTCCAAACTTTTACTAAATTTTATCATCGGTACAAGGACATCATTCGTAAATATAAATCAACGTGCAGGCATCTTATACGTTCAGGTATTTCACATCCAATCTTTTATGGTTATATTCTCTTCAAAGTACAAAAATGTCGTCATTCACCCCAAAAGCTAACAAAACCTTTAAACAGACTTATTCAGAAGGGATATAGTTACGATACTGTTGTCAAGTCATTAAAGATGGCATTTTTTGGAACTAGTATTGATTCATTCATAGGGTCTTTACGTCAGAAACACATTTATTCTAAAAACCAGTTATTGACATGATACGGGTTATGTTCCTCTCGTATATTTTATGATGGTATGATACTAAACCCCTTACAGGAGGAATTGTGCTTGATTTTTCATATGATGAAGACATAATCTTACAATCAGTTTAATTGAAGTCTGGAGCTGGCATGTCAGTAACTGCTAGTAGTCATTTATTAATTTATGTTCATTATTGTCATTTTGCTTAGTTTCTTCTGTTACCTTATCTAACATCGGACTCTGACTTCTTTAAAACTGAGTTTTACTGTGCGTATTGCTGTGTGTTTTTTTTTATTCAACATTGGCTAGAGGTATAGGGGGAGGGTTAAGATCTCACAAAACATGTTTAACTCCGCCGCATTTTTGCGCCTGTCCCAAGTCAGGGACCTCTGGCCTTTGTTAGTCTTGTAGGATTTTTTTATTTTGGTTTATTTATATATGTTTCGGAGTTAAGTGTGACGTCCATTTTCGATGAACTAGTATACATTTTTTAAGGGGCCAGCTGAAGCCCGCCTCCAGGTTCGGGATTTACTCGCTGCGTTGAAGACCCATTGGTGACCTTCGGCTGTTTTTATCTCTTTGGTCGGGTTGTTGTCTCTTTGACACATTCCCCGTTTCCATTCTCAATTTTATATCTATAACACAAAAATGAACAAATTGAATGTTATCATTTTTTTTTAAATACGTGAAAAAGCCAATAATAATTTATGAATACACGGGAACCCGCTATTACATGAAAAATATCCACAATAATATACAAAATAAGAAAACGGCAAAAATAAAGAAAAAAGGGACAACAAAGAGAAAACAGGATTCGAATCTAAACCAACAAATCTCTACTTCGAACTTGACTCTACAACTCATTGATCTTAACCTCGCGGCTACTAACTTGTACTATTCGATTGTCTATTATGTATATTTAAAGGTACAAGCCCAGTGTGTCCGTTGTTCCGATTTGTATCATATTTTCATTGATATATATGAAATAGACATCTAAATTGTAACCCATTTGTAGTCGAAAGGTTTCGTCAATGTGTTGATGTTAGTCACACATAACAGATTTCAAGGAGTGTTAAATTCCCAGTGTAGGCATATAAAAATTACAAAAGTTAAAGGTAAGTTTTTAAATTAATTTCATTAGTGAACAGAAATCAGTAAATTAGGCAATTCAAACTTAATGCAATTAAGCACACAGATGAAACAATTGAATTTCATTCCAGAGACAGATTTAGGAAGCGTTTTTTTTAGAAAAAGAAACCACGGTAAATGAATAGGCTGACGTCACGACACTCAAAAAAATAATTGCGAATCGATATATTGTTTTGTTTCGATCACATGTAAGACGACACTACACATTCACGCCAAATGGATAAGTTTTTATCTATCATCCAACTCAAATTTCTTGTATACATGTTATCCCTACCTAATGGGAAACTATTGAGCCCAGTATAACTTCATTAACCACCTTGCGTAGCCATGAATCCCAGTTACGTCATCATATTCATCATTATTGATATCCAAACCAAATGTGAAAGCCATCCTCAACGGGAGGAAAGCCATATGAGCAAGTGCATGTGTTGACATTAAGTCATGTCCCATTATTTGTAGCGGGTTCAAGGTGCTGTAACAACTGACATCAACATTGTTAACGAGAAGGCGGCCATTATACGTCAATGGAGCGTAGACTCCCGTTCCATTCACTGTCTGTATTGATAATACAGTTGTCATAATAACCGTCTTACGATTTTTCGCGGTCGTTAAAAATCGAAGTTGATTACCTGGACTGAGAGTGGATGCTTGTTGCGGGTTTCTGTTTTCTCCAACAAACAAAATATGATCAGGGGTCAATATGATTTCGCCAAGGCCGTGGATTATTTTCAGAAAAGTAAATTGACCCGTCCCTAATCGATGAAGCCATACAATAACTTCGTCTTCAACAAGAATTCCTTTGCTATTTAATGTTATAATCTTATCACCAACACTAAGGTCTTTCATACGTTTCATATTTCCATTACTGAGTTCTACAACAGAATTTTCATGAAAACAGTATCCAGCATTTTTTGATTTAGCAGTGGTAGTTCTATCATCTACTATTGGGGGCTGATAAGTAAATTCCCCTTTCAAAGCTAAATTTATAGCCCTCTGCATGATAAAACTTTTATCTTTGTCAACTTCAGCAACGATATGGTACAGAGGATAAAGATCAAGTGAACTCCATAGAGGAACAGGGGAATACTCCAATGATTCTACCCATGCTTTCCAATCTCTTTGATCTATATTTTCTAATGATGTCTTGTACGTTTCTTTGTTTCCACCATTCCACTGTAAAGAAGTTGAATGAACGGATGATAAACTTTTCTGAATAGTACTTTGTGTGTTTGCCTTGGAAAAATCATAGCCTGCATATCCCTGAAAAAAGGAAAATTTTGCCGCCAATGCAATTTGTACGTCTTCTACAGACTGTTCTTTTTCTACTTTAACATGGCATGTTAAAGATCCTCCTAAGTACGCACCGATCACGACATACATTCCCCATTTTTCAAAGAAAACCTTCCACTTGATCACATTAGTTTCATCCTTCAGGTTATAATCTGAAGGAAGATCTTTTACGTCAGTTATAAATTCTTCATTCATCTGAAATGGTTTCTGAATTACAACATGCCGAATTCTTTGTTCAACTGAAATTGTTTGAATTTTTGAACTGCCTTTATTGTAACCACTTCGAAAATTTATGTTAAAGGCTTCAAAGTTGATAACCCCATCCACCTGTATGTGTAAATCTCTTAATCTTTTACTAATATATTCATTTGTATCCTCAACTAAATCAAATTTGACTTCGAATGAGGAGCATTCTTTCAACTGTACATTGGCGGGTAATCCATACTGATCTTTACACTCTTCCATCGCTAGTGGCGACATCAAAGTTGTTGAATCCTCAAAAATATTGTAACCTTTTCCAATATGGTAGTCTAATCCCGAAACTTGTTCATAAGTCAAACCGAAAACTTCTTGTAAAACTTTCTGCATCTCCTTTGTGATTCTAACAGGATAACATTTTGCCATTAATTTGTTCATCGACATGTTTTGTATATCGCTAATTTTGAAGATATTAAGATCGCGAAATCTTACCTGAAGAAATAAAATTTCGTTATCAAGAAATTTCATTTTTTTCATTTTTTTGTAATTCTCTAACATGCTACCTACCTCAGAAGTAGGAACCATAACTATTGATTCAAGCAAAAGTGAATGCATGACTTGTGCATCATCCGATGTAACCTTGGAGGATGGTACGCTGTATCCCTTCTTAACACTCTTGTCAATACCAGGTCTAAAGCCAACTGCAATGGCTTCATGTCCTATATCATCGCCAGCTCGTTCTAAAATTCCTGCACATACTTGATAGAGTATTTTTGGCTGCTTGTCACCATTCGGTAAAATATACCAATCGCCATCACGTTTTAAATCGTTGTCCTCTGGTAGGTTTTCTTGCACCACAATCTCTGGATGAACACCTAAGTAAAGTCGTACGATTGCTTTAACTTCTTCCTGCCTCTGTTGTACCTTTTCTTTCCAACGTTTGAGATTCCGAGCAATAGATGCAGCATGTGTAAGAACAACTACAACATTTGGATTGTAAGGGTCAATTGCACCGACTTTGCTCAATCCTTTTAACATTTTCGCAAAGTTGGAACTTTCTCCTGCCATTCTATTGTCATTGATATTCTGTACAATAAACACCAGATTTGGATAACTGTTTTCTCTCATAAATGGATGTGAGTTCAAAAAGTATTTTATAGACATTACATTTTTGGCATCCTGCTGGAGTCCATCAGTATCACCAAATCCCGGTGTATCTATTATGGACAGTTTAAGGTCAGGAATTTTATATTCACTTGATTTCAAATTTAAAACATATTCAGTTGTTGAGCGGGTCACTGACAAGCTATCACCAGTTTTCGCAACATTTTTGTCGAACAGGTAATTAACAGTTGAGCTTTTACCAGATCCGCTTAAACCAATAAGTAATAGAAACACTTGATTTGGTGATCTCTTCATTTGTATTGCAGTAGCAGCCATTTTCATTGCAAGGTGGCGTTTGCCACTGATAAACAAAGTTTGTAACTGTTGCTCACTTTCTGGAAGCGACATCCATTCATCTTTCCTGGAAAATATGTGATTTAAAAAAAAGTTATTCCTAAAAGAACCATAAAGAGATCCTGTTTTTAAGTTATTCATAACCTTAACTGAAACTTATTGTATTAATTAGAATATTTCAGTCTAATGTTCAGCGTAAAATTTCTCTAGCGATTTGTTATAAAGATACCATACCTTAAGATCATTTTGGTATCTTTTCTGTAAAAAGTGTCAAAACGAAAATAATCAAAGGGAAATATCTGAACACCAAGAAATCCGAGTTTTTCTTTTTTGAAATAATGATAATTTTTAACATCCAGACGATTACGAAAACCGTTATGTTGATAACATATACACGAAATAGTTATTATGTACCGAATTCGGTAAACTTACAAGATTACAATTAATATAAAAGACCCTTTTGTTTTATCATTTTGCAGAAATTCACTTTCAAAGGCCTTTTTTTTCTTACAAGAAGACAGCATTTTCAAATGGTAAAAAAATTTAATCCTAGTATCTATGATGAGTTTATTAATCAACATTATTTCAACTATCCATTATGGATTTTTTTATGGTGAGGGCGAATTATTCACAACTTTAATATTATTGCAACGATTTACAACTTGATATATGAAATGCACACTTGTCTAGTACTGAAGACCTATGCTGTCCCTTCGGTGACTTTTATGGCTTTATCATGTTTTGGGTTGTTGTGCCACATAACAAATGACGTAAGTAAAGTGATTAAAAAGATTTTAAAACATGTTCTTGGTATACACGACAAAATTAAAAAGCGAGCTAAATGAAACAACACTAATTTTCTTCTGATGTAATCTTTTTTGGAAAACGCAGTCCAAAAGAACATCAACAACAGTTTCAGTGACGTTTTATCAAATAAAGAACCATACATAGTCCATCATAGTCTGACAGGCATCTTAAAATATGTTAAACAAAAACGAATATTGAAAATAGAGATGTCCACTTCCTTCCATTATCGAGAAAATGCCACATTGAATAATCAAAGACATGTAGACCATTTAAATGGTAATTTTCACAATTGACAAAGGTGTCAGATTTCCTAATTTCCTTTTAAATCATTTTGTTTGCAGTGAAACTATATTTCTTAGCAAGTAGCAAAGGGTACTAAAAGACCGTTGATTATTTATTAATTCATTCATGTAAATTAGTGCTTACATGGAGATTTTAGAAATTGTCAAAAAGAAAAGAAAAATACAATATCAGGTCTTCATAATCATTGTTATACTTGCTACTCAAACAGTTTCTATAAAAGCTATATAGTAAGATTGCTGATGATTATAAGTTTTATAACGAATTAGAATTGGATATCGCTTGATATCAACTCGAGTTATATAATTTCAAAATGATAATAAACGAGACTGGGGTGAGTTTATTATTACTATTTAAATAAAATAACGGGAGTTGATATCAAGCGATATCCAATTTTCACGAGATTTTAAAACTATTTCTTTTATGGTAAACACTCTCGTTGCCATGAAGAAAATGTACATCGTTTTTACCTTTGGAAGTCATCAATGACTAAACTTGTTCATGATGCTTGATAGACCAATCAAATTAACGCATTTTTGTATCACTTTTTCATATCCTACTCCGTGCAGTGTTATACGAGAAATATATGTTCATGAGAACAGGCCAGAACCATACAAGAATGAAACTTTTTAAATATATATACCTGACATCCTCACTGTATCTCCGATGCCCGTTATTAACATCTCCACTTCCATCACACTTCTCTTCATTGTCGGATCCCTCATGATCGTTATCTCTGTCATTGTTGCAATTTTCATTGGATTTGCTACTCGTATGATGAATCATGATTACGCACATAAACAGTAACCACCTGATATAAATCACAAATTAATTAAAATACGATTTGTTGTATACATATGCAATATTAACGTTTATGTCTTGAAAATGTCTTTCATGTCTTTAACATTTTGAGTCTGTGTTGGTCTTCGGCATTTCATACTTCGTATATCCAATGTTTTTGAGTCTATATGTTCTTCGACATTTCATACTTTCGTATATCCAAGTTAAATAGATCTATATTCAATAAACGAAATGAGAATTTCTCTGATGTATCCATTCATTGTCCAAATAATGATTCCTTTGATAATCAAAAAAATGTTTGCTAGGCACAATTTGATATATTGTACACTATTTACATTGTTACAGTAATAATTATACTTAAAGTAAATTGTCACTCAAAAATAGTATATGACATACATCTTTGTCAATGTTTACTTTCGCTTATGAAATACAAGTATATAATAACAACTCTAAGGTTATTCTATCTTTAATATTACATTTCACCGTTAAACGTATTTGTTGCTATATACAATTTGTCGAAGTTACCGAACCATCTTTAGGAGGGAAGAAGAAAAATGTAAATTCAGAGGTAAAAAAACACGACCGAGTCCAATCAGCTGCTTGCACAAGCAACCATAATCTGAATGAATTTTGTTGTGTTATAATAAGTCCAGATATAAACTCAAAGGGGTAACTTTTAGTGCAAAATAAGAAAATTTCATTCTTCTTTTTTTTTAAACTAAGGACCATGGGAGTCTTAATTTAGCAAAAGTAAAAGCAACGAAAATACAAACTGCCGTCCACAGAAAACTAAGATTGACCACCTAAAACCTCACCAAAATCCGGGGAACAGTACTCTGTACAGTAAGTAGTTGCTGATCTTCTAGTGACACGCTCTAGCTCATGAATTTAAAATTCGGTGACTAGTCGCTTTCGTTTATGGTACAATCGAAGAATATAGGAAAGGATTGGGCTACAACAAGTAAAACATATCTGCTGTTAGCTGTGGTACAGATATTCCATAATGGTGGATCCAATCATGACGGCATCAATCTTTATCCTATTAATAGAATGTTTCAATACAGAACATGGGAGAAGAAAAGACTTTTTTTTTATTTTCGCTTTGGTAGTTTAGATTACACAATACATCTTGTATACAAGAACTGATTATATTCAAACACTTTTACAGATAAGAAGAAGGATTCTTTTATAGTGATGTTTTGAAATGATCTGTCAAATGACTTTATTGTCAAATCATACTAGGCCTCGAGCATCAATGAAGATACATTAATTGTCGAAATGCTCATTTGGTGAAGTACAATTGGCACTATTAATGTTATAAATACCACTGGGTCGATACCTCTGTTGGTAGACTGTTAGTTCCAAGTATAGCATTACCCCAGTAGCCATTACTGCGGTATATGCATGAAAATACTGATATTGTTTTAATTAAAATTTGGTGTTAGAAAAATTTTGAAATCAATTTGAATATCTCTCATGTCATCTTATTTCTTGTCCGGGTTTGGCTTTATTTTTGATCCTTTTTAGCTTTATCAGCTCTTTAACGTTTATATCAGGTTTTTGATTTCCGAATATTTTAGATAAAGGCAACAGTAGTATACCGCTGTTTAAAAGTCATAAATCGATTAAGCGAAAACAAATCAGGGTTACAAACTAAAACCGAGGGAAACACATCAACTATAAGAGGAAAACAACGGAACAACAGAAACACTGAACTTCAACAAAAAAAAAACGCCAACATACATAGAAACGGACTATTTGATAACAACTGCTATATTCCTGACTTGGTACAGGACATTTTAAGAAAAAATGGTGGGTTGAACCTGGTTTTATGGCTAGCCAAACCTCCCGCTTATATGGCAATGTTAACAATACTGCTAAAGTGACAACACTACGTGACAGTAATACAGTACAAATAAACGCAAGAACACTCAGGACAGAGAAATACATTAATAAATAATATAATAGTACATTACAACATGTAAACCGCAGAATAACAACGGACACCTCCCATGAATTTATGACAGCCTAACCTCTAACATCACTAAAGAGACATTAATTGTCGAAATGCGCATCTGGTGCAGAAAAATAAGTACCGTTAATGTTCTTACCTTGATATGCTTGACATCTTTACGGTGTAAGCTCTGTATTTTCTGAAAACAAACAAATTAGTTAATAAAATGAGCTGCGACAGATAGAAATCGACCTCATGCAAATGCACATATACATGTACATGTAAAAGAAGTTGATTGATTTTGGAACATTGAAATACGACATAAAAGATGAATTTGGTCTGTTTTGTAGGGTTCTTATATTAACTTAATTTTAAACAGTTACAGACTTTGCATAGATATTTTGTCATATACAGTATACAGATGTATTTATATGCATTAGCATAAGGTCGATTCCTCAAATTATACATATAAATACAACAAATACAGTGTGAAAGTACAGGTGTTTAATTCAAGGCCTTGAACGATTAACTTCACTTATATCTATCCAAGATCTCGGTTTAGTTTACTACAGCCTTGATGTGTTGGTCGAAGATCAAAACTGTTTGTCCAAGATAATTTAATATTAATTCATTTATCCAAAATAGCAATCGGAATTTTTTTGTTAGACGACTGAATAATGAAGTGAGTTGTGACCATTCAGGACTTGCTTACCAATGAGTTCATTTTATTGTTTGACTTTTGGTATACTTTAAAGTTGCATTTCACAGGACACAACTTATAATTTCGATAAGACTTATCCAAAAACCCAAAATCAGTAATAATGAGTAAATATTTATTTGACTATTGATTACTTCTGTCCAAAAAACTTTAAAGAATTCAATGAGGAACTGAAAGACATACCATGTTTAGTAAAGGCAAATGAGGATCTTGATAATGTCAGTTTTAAAAAAGAATTGTAATAATCAGACTGATTGTTGTATAAGGTATAATGTATCCTTTCCTAAATCAAGATATTTGTATTGAATTCGGTCATTATTTTTTATTATTTTTTTAAACCAATTTTGACTAATTCAAATGATTCGATATTCTAGAGCTTGCAGTTACTATGGATATATCAAATAATGTCAAAGATTTAATACAAATAATTAAAGGGTGTGTGAGAGAGAAAACAAATACGGTACATTATTTCCCTAAAATTTCATTGATTGAAAAAAAAAATAGTGTCCTCTACTCAGATGTCAAGGAGAGCATTCTGTATGGTTAAGTTTACGCTCACAACTACTCATAGTTGAGTATAGTTAAAATGTAATATACCCGTAATACTGTTCTTACCAAAGAGTCCCAGCTCTTTAAAATGTTTAAGTAGGCAGCCACGTCCGGCATAATTATGATTTAGAGTACAAATACTTTTACAAAGGGGTTGCTTGGCATCTACCATTGACTTCAATGCAAACTTATGTCTTGAATTAAAGTTATAACTGTTTTACCTTTAGCAATCAGGAGCTTTTATATATCATTTGTTGAATAACAAATGTAGCCCCATCTTTTGCAATAGTAAAAACATAGGGTCATGGGGCATTTTTGTGCCATTCACATGGCCCTGTTTACAAACACCGCAGATTCGCACTAAATTCCTATAATGACCCCCATTACTTTTCCACCCTGTAGTAAAAACATTAAGTGCATTCAGCATTCATTTTTTTATTTTTTCCCCCTAGTTTTGACCCATCTATCAAAAGATATTTATTACAAACATTATCTACCAAGCAGAAGAGCAGAAAGCTCTCCACCAAAAGTGCGGTCTTTGACAACGTATATTTATTTACTGAACTTACCCCCTACTACTCTTACCTAATGTGGTGACCGGCTGTTCGGGTTGTATATTGAATGAATCAATTACATACAACATATTTTTTGTGTCTTTTAATTATTATTATTTGTTTATTTGTGTTTAATGTTAATATTTTCTACAGATAATATAATGCTACTTTTCTTCTGTTTTATAATTGTGTGTATCTATAAGTGTTAGTGTGAACTAAGTATCCGTGTTCTGTCTTTTAATTACGGTGATATATATTTTAACGAAATCCGATTATAGTAAGCTTGTATGCATCATGCTTACGGTTTGTTCTGTAATGACGACTTAGGTTATAAAAAGTGTTTCATTCCCCTTTACCGAATTTCGCGTAATTGTTCCCCTAGACTTCGAACAGGAATATTGCACTTGTCCGGACTGGGTTTTTTTTCTTGTTTATGTTAAAAGACCTGTTGATGATTTTGGTACAATAGAGTTTAGTAATGATCGACATACTGATCGAATTGCTTTTCGTTCTGGTTGGTCGACTTTTTTCGATAAGGAGCAATCGTGTCGCACAAACATATCTAGTCTTTAGAAGTCATCAATGTTTTCATTGAAACATTTTTCATGTCAATGCTAAAGAACTATGGTAAGTTCGATTCTTACATAAAATATATATTTCGGTATCGGTACCATTACGTATTTTTGTGATGCAAATGAAGAATTAGTTATTGCCTTTAAGGTTCTATATTTCCATACAGCTCATGTAACGAATTTGACATTTCACTTTATTCTAGATACTTTTAAAACATTTTATGAACTAACAAATCCCCAAAAATATTTTTCTTTCATTTTTAATGGAAAATTTCTTTGGCAATTAATAAAGGGGAAAAGAGGATTTCTTCTAGTCAAATAGTAATTTTTTAACAAAATTTATGAAATATTATTACTACTGGCCTCGCCCTTTGCCATCAGTCTAAGAACCGTCCTTAATAAAACTCTATCTCTGTTAAAAAAAAAGCCTGAAATTAGTGAAAGGAACATTCTTTAAAAGGTCGACTTTACGGCTTTGTTTTCTTATTGAATATTAAAAGACTAAAACAAAAAAGATATAATATAATATAATGTATTCGAGATTTCTTTGATTATATAAATTATAAAAGGCAACGAGCCGGATAAGTATAAAGAATACAAAGTTCTTGTTTTATTTGCACTAAGTAAACAGACTTTTGCCCTTCCATTAGCAGGATTTGAACGAATGTTTTTATGATATTGTGGCATCTTTGCCTGAAATGTGTCCAACACCCTGGACCACTCAGCCAACTAGGCTATAAATAGATATTTTCATTGAATCCGATTTTTCTGCACTGGACACGTATCGTCGCTTTAAATATTCATACATAAAGCATTTAAAAATTACTTTGACATATTTAACATTACTCATAAAGTGGTTAACTTGCATTTTAATTATGTTTTTCATTTTGAGATATCTCTTTCTATTATCATAACGATATCAGTATATAGAAAAATCTAAGGGAGCGTTTACATCTGTTAGAATCATAATAATACATTTGTGAGACAAATGTTCCAAAACCAATTTAATATAAATTTCTTTTTATAACAAAAGACAATTTAAAAAGATAAACAAGATGACGTCAGTGGAATTTCTACACTCAGATGTGTAATGAATTGGTTTGTAACGTATATTAAACCTATTGAACGTTTATCTGTTATAACAAAATGCGTACCTTTAAAAACATAAAGCTGGTATTGTGTTCCTTTTCTTATCCGTTCCAAAATCAGAAGTTATGAAAATCTTTCGTATTTGACTAATTGTTTGCATGTAGGGACAGATCCATGGGTCCCCCCCCTTTTCACATACACACACTTATAACCGATTATTTGGTTGGTTCTTTTTAGTATTTAGTTTTACCACCGGCTTCCTTTTTTATTTTTTTATCCGCCCAACCCCACTTCAGAAAAATCCTTAAGCAGCCATTACACATGGTACAATTTTGCAGTATAATTTTGTGTAAATCTGTATATATTGTTTCAATTTAACATTGTAAAATCATTGCTTTACTTGCCTCAATTAATCTGTTTGTCGAATTTGATCCTCTTCTCTATCACTATAATAACACGTCATCAGATCATGTATTGGAGTGCATCAATGTGTTTGTCAGTTTAAGAAAATGTAAACCACTTGGTTTTTTAAATGTCCGATAGGAATTCCAAAATACAGAAGGAAAACGAAAGTAGGATTTTTATCAAGTATAAGGAATTATATTATGATAAACGAGCAGATATCAAAATTCTATGTGTGTATATATTTGCAACTCTTTAGATAAAACTTTACTTTTTGTATCAAAACTAAATGAAACGTTCACATTCCCTCCCATCCAAAACTATAGGAGTTAAAGACCGTTTTGAATTATGCATAATATCAGGTAGGTAGGTACGCAGATAGCGATCAATATAACCTTGCTAAAATCCTTAATTAAAGTCTAATATATGTAAATGTTAAAATTAAATTTTAACCCAACAGATAATTATGCTGAAAAAATACAGCTTTTAAGTCAAACAAAATAATGTTTATATATTTTGTGCCGTAACAGTTGAACACAACATTAGATAACAAGATATAAAGAGAAACAGATGCCTTTAAGATGACAAGTGAAAATAAAAATGAACAAAAGGAAATTTTAAGTAGATGTCAATAAGACAAAAACAACAAAAACGGTTTTCAACAATAGACAAATGACTATGAAAAGGTCATGACATAAATCAGAATCTGTAAAAGAAAAAGTTGCGATAAATCTGAAACATAGACCACAAGGATTTGAAATCTACTTCTAAATACCTGAAAGAATTGAAAACAAGTGGCTGTCAAAGTGACAACAAACCGGATTTTCCTGCATGAAAATGATATTTGCAAATCTGGACCCCCAAACAGGATCAAGTAAAAATAAAATGTTCCGCTAGGCGCAAGCTTGATACGACCGCAGAGGTCGAGCCCTGAACAGTTGAGACAAGTATGGACACAACATTTAAGCTTAAACAGCTCTGAATTTGGATTGTGATCGAATATTTGACACAGCATAGGTTTGTGACACAAAATGAATGTGGTCGAAGAACTGAAAAATTTGAAATTGGACATTTACTTATTATGGTCCAATATCCAAAATCTAATTACATGGTTAGAATCAGCATATCAAAGAACCCCAAGAGTTCAATTTTTGTTGAAATCAAACAAAAGTTTAATTTAGGACCCTTTGAACCTCAATTTGATAAAGGAGCCCAAAATCCAAAGTCTCTAAATACATGGTTAGATTCAGCATTTCAAAGAACCCCATAAATTCATTTTATGTTGAAATCAAACACAGTTCAATTTTGGACCCT